TCGCTGTTGATGCTCCTGCCAGACTAACTGGCTCCCTGGCAACAGGTCTGGCAATAGGCATTATCTAGAGTCAGCCTTGTGGTTAGGCTGAGATTTCTGTAACAACATAACATAAAATTTAAAATGTTCAGTTCAGAATATTTATTTTCCTTTCTTAGAGGAGGGGGGGGGTGAAACCACTGAAGCAAAACAGTATTTTTTCCCTTAAAAGAAATGAGTATCTAATGCAGGGTTTCAATTACCACACAGTTGTTTTCATATTAATCCTGTTGTGTATGCGAATGAAAAGCCATGTGCAGGACTTGAGTGCGGTCAGCATGAATGAAAACGAGAGTTTCTCTGCTTTTGTTCTGTGGGGAGAAGAGCTGTCCCAGCGAAGACGTCAGAATAAAATTTCCGGAAGGAACAGGTTTCATTTGTCTAGTAACAAGACAAGGATGTAGGCTGATGGACATGACACAAAATAAATCTGGGAAAGAACTGAATTTCCAGCGTGTGAGCCTGTCTCCAGTAGCTAGGGGAAAATACAGGACGATTTTTTTAAAAAAGTTTCCTGTTGCACCCAACTTCGGTTTATTTTTTCCCCACCACAAAAGTGTCAGTTCATTGTGTCCATTGTTTCAAATTGTTCCCAAAATAATGTAAATATCTTCATAGCAGAATTATCCCAGTACTTTTGAGTGCTCTAAAGATCCAAGCGATTAAAGGTTACTCTATAACCCAAAAGGTCTTTCCACAAATTCACGTGTTTTTCTCTCTCTCTAATGTTCTTCTTTCTCAGAACATTTAATTTTCTCATAGTTTTGGGTTAATGTATTCATTTTTGTATGGGGGTCATCGTGGTGAATTGCATTCCATGAACTGGAAACTATAATAATGGAATAATAATTGGGTTCTGGTTCATAGGTTACTCCAGGGAGAATGAATTAAAGACTTGGGGGTGAGTAACTTTGACGTCCTTGTCTTAAGCCTCATTAAAAGCAATTTCTGAACAAAAGAATATCGATTGAATTCTTCTTTGAGGGAGACGACAGGAAGTGACCGTCATAGATGAAGGACATTGTTAGAAATGGCTTTTCTTAATTTGAATGTTTGCGTGCCATTCCACACCGTTTGCTTTACTTAACAGCTTATGTCCCTGTTCTGCTGTCTGCTCCACATCAGTCGCGTTCCCCCATTCTTAAAGAAATCAGCACAGGGTTAATCCTCTCTCCCATGTTTGCTTTTCAGGCCTTAGTCTTGAAACTAGTGACGAAAAGCTGATTTTCGGCATTGAATTTAACTCAACGTTTCTGGAATGTGTCCCAAAATCACAGCAAGCTTCCATCAGGTGGTTTATTCAGCGTTCTGGAGAGGAGCACCGAGAAGAGGTGAGGCTGGCTTTCCCTCAAGAGAAAACTATTCACTGGTCCAAAAATTGGCGCTCACGAAATAGAGATGGATGGATGGATGGATGGATGGATGGATGGGTGGGTGAGTGGGTGGATGGGTGGCTAGATAGTAGATAGATAGATAGATAGATAGATAGATAGATAGATAGATAGATAGATAGATCTATGAATATATTGTATTATAGAAATAGATAGATGTTGCTTATTTGGTCAGAAATATGTTGGCCACAGCCAAACACCTTTCATTGTATTAAACTTTTCTCTATGTCTCTTTTGAACTTTTCCCTCTTCTTCCAAAGAGTAGGGAGTGTAGCTTTTCCATTTGCTCCCTACTCCCAGAATCCTCGATCCCAGAACTTTTGGGTAACTCTGGGTGAATCCCATGAGAAGCAAGGGACGTGTTGTTCCTGGAATTCCAGAGCGGAACCCTTTTCCCAGGCCTTCCGTGCCTCCCTCCAGCAATAGAGGGCTCAGTGTATCTCATCAGGGGGCAAAATCTGCTTTCCTCCGAGGAAGGAGAGGGCAGCTTCCAGATCGGCCCTTTGGCCCTGCAGGCTCTTTCCTCCCCTTCACCCGTAAGGTCGGGCTTTGGAGGGTCATTTCCAGGTAGAGCTGGGCGGGGAAGTAAACAGGATCTCCGGTGAGTCAGTCGCTTCCACCATGTCATTTGGTTCGTCAGTGTGTGTGTGTGTGTGTGTGTGTAGGGCATCTCCCTGCAGTGAGAATTCACTTTGATCTCAGTGATGCTCAAGCCAAGGAAAAATTTTGTCTCTTGGTTTTAAGGATGTTATCCTGCTTGTACTAGAGTCACGGAGGAGGGGAGGGAAAAGGAATTAGGGTATCTTCCTTATGTCATTCACTCATGAAGCTGGAATCAGGCTGAGCTATCTGGGACCCTCACCCAATTATTTAGTCATCATAAGGTTCCTTTCCGCAGTGAAATACAAAGGCACGTAAGCGTGAGAACCAAGTTCGACTCAGTTCTTGGAAAAGGCCGTTTGCCACTTTTAAGAAATATTAGATGTGGTTTAAGTTACATTCATTGACTTAATTTAATTTAATTACATTAAGCTACAGCTCCAAGTCCAATTTGCCCCCAAGATTCAGCTGTACCGAACTGCCATGTGTGCTATAAATGTAAAACCATTGTTTTATATTTATTGTTTTTATTGGATTGTTGTATCCTGCCCAGAGCCACTTGCCATGAGATGGGCGGCCATATAAAATTTGTTAATAAAATAAAATGTGTACTTTCATAGAAATCGAACAGGCCCTGCACCTAAAATGGCAACTTGTCTTTTCTTGTTTTTTCTTACTTTGATGACTTTTTCCCCCTCCGGGTGGTTGCCTCAGTAATCAGTTAAGTCTTCTTACACCCCTCCATCCAACCAATATCGAGTTTCCTGAGAGTCAGACGGTGTTTCCATTGTGTGCAATTTGATATCTGTCAGTTGTTGTTCTGTTGAACTTCAAAGCTGCCTTTCGGAGGTGATGAAAAAAACTTATGGAAACAGTTCAGAAATAGACAAAATTCAAGAAAAAGAACTCGCAGGAATAAGAAGGAGTGAAATGCCACAGGAAAATGGTAAAAGTGATAAAATTCTCTTAGCCCAGAGTTACAATATCATTTAGGATCCCGTGATGTTTGGGGGTCACTGAATATTTTAGAATATGGAGAGCGTGTAATTTGCACTCCCATGAATTGGTTCCCTGCCGTGGTGGATGCAACCACAAGGAGAGGCAGGCTAGACGCTGGCAGAGGTAACTTTGCTCGTGTCAGAGTTGCACATGGCTTAGGCTTCTGTAGCAGTAATAAGTTCTCCTCCTCCTCATCACCATCATGAGCGGAACAAGCCCTGTGGTTGAAAACATAATGACAATTGGTCAACAGATGAGTTGTGGTGGAAACGAAGGACACTTCTACAGAGTTTGAACAAAATAACTCAATTAAAAGCACTTACGAGAGACCCCAATCAATATGTCCCACAGGTGCTTTTTGTTCCAAAAGGCAACAGTACTTTCTTGGTTTTTCCTTTTGCTTCTCATCCAAGAAGCCTCTTCATTTCTGACTGAATAGTGGCGGGTGGAAAGATTTATATTCCTTGCAGTCATCTGGTTGTTAGCACTCCTTCTGAGAGTCACTGAGACTCAGTCAGAACTGAAGAAGCTTCTTGGATGAGAAGCAAAATGTCTTCAAGGAAAGAACAAAGTCCAGCTGCCTTTTGAAAAGCACCTTTGGGACCACCTCGGTGGCTGAGAATCTCCATAGTCAAGTCAAGATGAACATCGGTATGTACTCAGAGCATAGAAATAGCTGGACTCACAGGTGAAAGGTGTGTAGGAAGACTAGCAATTAGATTGTACAAATAATGAATAGAAAAAGGATTCCTTAAAAAGCAAATATTAATATTTTCCTCCCTTTAGTTCTTTGGATAAATATGCAGAATGTGGAAAAGATACCTTGACTTAATAACCTGGACACCAACCACATTTAAGTCGTGGTTTACTAGACAGTTTTATGAATTAATGGTGATAAGAAGATATAATGTAAAAAATAAGGAAGTCTCTTAATGGTTTGGAAGCTCAGGCTACGAACTAAGAACTCCCTTATTCAGGTGTCATTTCTGTCAACAACTCTCCATTTCAAAATCTTTCTATATTTCATTTAAAATGTGTGAATGATGATACTAAACTACATTCCAGGCTTTTTTTATTACTTACTGAGATTCTATTTTCTCTTTTCCTCCAAGGAACACAAAGTGACATAAGTATTATTTCTGCATTTCCCCCCACCCTCTATGGCTAAAATAGGCTGAGGTTATCAGTAGTTCCCCCATGAGATTTGAGGTTGGGCGTGGAAAGTTTGCTTTCTTGAGTCCTAAACCAACAATGTTTTAGTTACATAAGTTGCTGTATAAATGTTACCTATTTATATTAGCATTAGGAAAGGAAATATTTATCTGTTGTTTGGGTTATTTTGACTTAGGACAAATATTTATATATAATTTCATTCTGGCTCATTTTTCATCAGTTTATGAAATTCAGAAAATGAAATAAAAGGGAAACATGTATATCCTGTTTTGACATTTCCACACAATATAACCTTTTTAGCATTTTACCCCAAAATAGATACGAGAAGGGAGTTAATACTCTGATTTCTTTCTGTATAACGTTCAGCAGAGAAAAATGAAAAAAGTAAGAGATAATAACAGTTGCATTCTAATTCTCAGATTTGTCCAAAAAGTGAACATAAATGGTTAGACAATAAATGGAATCCTGAAGTTCTTCCAATCATGGGAGATCAAAGAGGTTCCATGTTCTGGCAGTAGAACGACAGAAGCCATTTCCAAATAAACCATTCACAAAGGCAAGCGATGTTGCCGCAGCCTTTAGTTCACTTTTAATGTGTTGCTTTCTGTCTTTTTGTTAATACTCTCTTAACACTTTCTTCCTAACATGCAATCCCCTTGAATAGTTCTTTGATTTGCAGTGAAAGAAGGAATGGCTCTCATTGCCAGTCATTAATATGAGTCCAAGCTTGGAAAAGGAGAAGGTTCCCTATGTCATTGCTATGAAGATGAAGAAAATGAAGGTGATTGATTGACGTCAGTGGAATTTAAAGTCAAGAGATTGTCAGCACCAGTATAGACCACAGGACATTTGTCAAGGGCAAAAATACACAATGTCATCCTCCATCAATGAAGGGCCACACACAGATGGAACATCAGAATATCATGGTGCCCATAACAGAGGATTGGGGTGGGGTCAGGAAATGGGTTTTTTTAGAGCTGATTTATTGATGGAACTCCATCACCAGAATGGAAGGCGCCAGATCATGGCCGACTTTTTCCCATTGGTTTCAGTAGGACCAAGTTTTAGTTAGGATTCAGTCCTGTATGCAAGAGTGAGAGAGAGAGATCTGCAGCTTGTTTCACCCACAGTTAGCTATAATTAAGTCTCACTGAAAATGTATGGCATTTTTCAGTTTAAAAGTCTGTTTCAGCAGAAATGGTGGGAGTTATTTAATGCATTGTCTTGTCTCCGTGGAGACAAGGATTCCCCAAGGATTCTATAATTTGTAGGAAGCTGATACATCACTGTTCCAATTGACACTTCTCCACGGTGATTCTCCTGAAGGCAGTGGTGACCCCCACCCAAAATACTTGCATCCCCAGATCTTCTGTTTTGTACAAGATAATTTATCTTGCAGCTACATGGGGAGGATTCTAATTTTAAGCATGGGCATCTTCACCTCCATAATTTCCATAATGATTGCCTTCAGTCATACGTCTGGTACCTTAAGGTGTTTGGGTTGAGTTTCCCCAGTGGTTTTCCATAGATAAGGGTGGCCTTGACCTAGGTTTGCCCCATCTTCATCCAACACTAACCATGCTGCCACATTGGCTCATGTCTAGGACTGAACTCAGGCCTAAACATGCTTTACATTTTCACTTTGTAGAGCCAAGATCAACAAAACCACTGCGTTCGTTAGGCATAGATTATGTAGACTTCAAAATAGTCGACAACTCTATGAAATATAGATACTCTTAAGTGATTGTCCTCCTGCAGCGCTCTCTCTCTCTCTCTCTCTCTCTCTCTCTCTCTCTCTCTATTTTTGGCCAGCGCAAGGTGGTTTGGCTTTGTTTTGGAGCAACATTGTATGCCACAGAAGTGATGCAATTCTCTCCTAAAGACGGAAGCAGCAGCACAGTTTGACTGAAGATTAGGTTGCTCAAGGCCTTTCCCAGGAATTTCTGCCCCTGGAAGAGGCTTTGAACATCTGCTTCTTTTGACCGGACAGAAGACTGGCAGAGATTTCTTGGCATAGGCAAAGCCTCTTGCCATGGTTGGAACCGTGGGAGGTATTCATCATACCTCTGTTTTACTTCACTAATGGTGAAGGTTTTGGGTGAGAGCAGTGGATTTTGTTAAGGCTGCATCTCCTCAAAAGTTTGCACAGCCCTACATATTCCTGAATC